ACTTTACGTTTTAGTTTTAAAATTTTTTGTTCGTTAAAAATAGATTCATTTGTTTCATATACAAAATCCATTTTTAAATTGCATGCATATTAATGCAGCTAAGCTGATTTTTATATCTTTCAATCGGAGCTGTAATCCGATTTTTTAATTTTCCTTTAAAAGTTTATCAGTCCAAATCCGTAAAATTCTGATTTGGAAATTTTATATGTTTTATTTATAAATTTAATTGGACCATCTTTTTTATTTATAAACAAAAAAATGGAATCATCCAAACAATTTAAGGAACAAAAAAAATTCAAAAACCAAAAACGAATTCAAGAACGAAAAGAACGTGAAAAGAAGGATGAATTATTTGTAAAATTAATAAGAGAAAAGGATGAAATGATATATAAAATGTTGGAAATGATTTTGTTTATAGTATTAATTTTTATTATTATTTTTTTTTATTATTAATTAAAGATAATGAGGTTTTCATTTTATTTCTAAAAGAGAAATTTTGGGGTTTCTTTGGAATCGTGACAATGTTTATTTTAGGTAAATATAAAGAATCAATTATCGATTTTTTAAATATGATAAAATTTAAATTTTTAGGTTAAATATGTTTTTTATTTTATTTATTTAAATAAAATTTTAAGATATTATACAAAAAACTTTCATCATCGTTCGTTATGATAATTTTTTGTTAAATAAATTTATTATTTTATTGATTTAATTTGTTAGCTAGAAAAAGAACTTTCAGAAAATTTAAACTTTTATTACTAAACCGACCGTTGGCTTGTCGGTTGAAGAAGACTAATTTTGAAAGATTTTTTTAACAAAGACTAATATTTTATAAACTAATTTCAAGAAACGTATTCGAATAGAAGTTTTGTAGAACAATCTGTTTAAAAAATTAAAAATTTAATGATTTCTATATTAAACAAAATATATTGATTTAAACAAAGTATCAAATTTGTCAGCTTCAATAAAAAGAAACTATAAAAATATGTTCTTTCTCGTTCAATTCGTTGTTATTCTTGTGAATTCTTGAGTCGTAAAATCTTTTAACCCAACCAAATTCTTATTTTTTTAAGATACGCCGATACATTATCTATAGCAGTTCTAGTATAAACTAACAATTTCCACACCAATAATAAATTATCTATAATGGTTCTTGTGACGACGATACCAATACCAATATAAAAAAATCTTCTCTAGTAATTTGAAAGTAAAAATCACAATCTTTCCATTCGTATTTAAAATCACCGAAATTTTTCTCATCAAATATGAAAAATGTTTGTTTCTTCTTTAATTAGAAGAAACCATAAAATCTTCTCCAGTAATTTATAAACTCGACGAATGGAATTTCAAGATATTTTTCTATTGACGTTTCTTTGAATTTCTTCAATCTTGGAGAATAACAATTTCCAAGTGTCTTTTTTTACATTCAAAACAGTTAAAATTTACCGTTTTGATCTTGTTTAATATAAAAATTGTTCTGGAAACTGTTCAATTAAATGTTTCCAGAACCAAAAAGAGTATAAAGCGACAATTAAACTTGTAGTTACTAAATAAATAGTAACTACCGAAAACCAAAAGAAAATTTTTGATGAAAGTATTTTATTAAGAATTTGATGAATATCATTTTGATATTCACCGGAAAAAAGGTTTGTAAGAAACAAACCAAAAATTACACAAAGGAAAATGAAAATTACAAGGATTTTTGGAAACATTTTGTTTATTTTATTATTTGTTAAGAAAACGAATGAATTCGTGAAGAGAAAGAAAGATTTTTCGCTCATTTTTATTATTGTGAAGAAATTGCTAGAAAATTCTAAAAATAAACTATAATTACGTAGATTTGAATTTGAAATTTGATTATCAATATATAATTTTATTGATTCAGTATTTTTCTGTAAGTTCCTTTTCTGGCTTTATTAATATTATATATGTGTGAATTTTTTCGAACAAAAGATAAGAAACTTTCTGTTAGTGTGTGAATTTTTTCGATCATTTGATCAAAGATAAGAAACTTTCTGTAAATTCCTTTTCTGGATTTATTGATATCTGTGTGAATTTTTTCGATCATTTGATCAAAGATAAGAAACTTTCTGTAAATTCCTTTTCTGGATTTATTGATATCTGTGTGAATTTTTTTTCGATCATTTGATCAAAGATAAGAAACTTTCTGTAAGTTCCTTTTCTGGCTTTATTAAATCTTATCTGTATGTGCGACAAAGATAAGAAACTTTTTGTAACCTACAAAATTTTATCAATCGATCCGATAAAAAGTTTAAATACAAATTAGAAATTATATTAAATAAAGTATTGATAATCAGTATGATTTTACCAAATTAATTTCTATTGACAATAATTTATCAATCTTTTTAGAAAGGAGTTTTCTGTAAATTCCTTTTCTGGTTTTATTCACTCATAATTCTGAATTCGAAACTCAAATTAAAATTCTTAAAATTCTTATCTAGAACCAATTAAAAATAATTTTAAAAAAACTATAAAAACTCGATTTTTACTTTACCGCACATAAATAAACTCCTGCATAAAAACAATTGAATGAAAATGAAATTGTCAGAGATCTCTCAACGAATTAACGATTTTCTTAACGAGTAAATATATTTTTAATTAATTATTTTCAATAATCCTGTAATTAACACGTTTTAAACCAATAGAATGTCTGGGGGAAACAATACCAAAAAACAACTCATTGAAAAAATTAACGAATTGATGGTGACACTTCAAGAAAAAAATGAAGCCCATGCTAATGAAATCAGTCTTTACCGAAAAACTTTTGAAGAACAAAAACAAGAAATGAAAGAAAACCATGAAAATGAAATCAGTCTTTACCGAGAAATTATTAATGATAAAAAAAATGAAATTAAAAATTTAATGTTAGTAATTGAGAAAAATGAAGAACTGTGAAAAAAATATGAATATGAATATAATGAAAGATTGAAAGAAAAGGATAAAATCCATAAACATGAAAGAGAAGAAAGAGAACGGACATATAAACGTGAAACCGATCTTTTACAACAAACCATCGATCGTTTAGAACAAACTATTCGTTCCTTTCAAATTGATGAGAGTAGTTTCCCCTAGATATTAACAAAATAGTATATTTTTTCTTTTAATCTAAAAATTTTTTTATTTATATTATTATAAAATAAATATTAAATAATAAAATATAAACCAAATAATGTTTCAAAAATCAAATAAAAGATCACGAAAATATTTTTTCAAATGTAAAAAAAAATGAATTATAATTTTCCCAATCTTTTTCTTAAAATTTATATACAAAACAATTCGATATGTTCGCATTATACAAGTAGTCAAGGATTAACTTTTTATACTGGTAAAGGTGAATATGGTGTTTGTGTATCTGGCTACGGTAACCATGTAATAGATTATTTACAATGGTGCGAAGAAAAGGTTGCTGAGAATAATAAAAAAATACAACAACAAATTTAAAAAACTATTAAAGATCTAGAAAAAATTTACCAAGTAATATAATTTATAAAATAATAATAATAATAAGATAAAAAATTAATCAATTTCTATTACAGGAAATCCAAAAAATCGAAAAACAAGTAGACAAATGTCCAACCTTGCTGAAAACTGAATTCAATAGTAATGATAAACTAGATCAAAAAATGGACAAACTTGTCACAGCATGTAAAGAAGTTAAAGATCAGCTT